TCAAGAGAAGAGTTAGGAAGAGAGTTATTCTTCAACCAAGTCGAAAACCAACCCTTTAAATACATTTTCGAGTAGTATGATTTAATTTATTAGACTATTTCAAAGGGTTGCTTCCAGCTTCTTAAATTGAACCATTTGTTAATGAAACAATTGTTCGTGAAGTGATTGTTGACAAAATGAATCAAACCCACATTAAATGTTTTTATTTTTAAATTCATGATTTTAATTGATCAATCAATCAATGGTCTCTCCTGTAATAACGTTGTATATATAATAATAACGACACTTATTTTATGTGGTCGAATGTAGAAGGTTGAGTTTCGTGCGCTGAAATGGCTTGAGAGTAATTTCTATACGAAAAAAATAACAAAAAAAAAAAGTTTGGACGGCTGTCCTATTCATATGTTTCGAATTTAATAAAATAGACTATTGTCTTGGCCCGAGTGATGTCATTTTTTTGCTCTTTGCGACGAAGAAGATGCAAAACCCAACTTGATTGAATATTTATTCTCGCGTAGCACGATGTGCGTGTTTTGTAACACGAAAAGCAAAAGCTCACATTGCGTTCTCAGTTGTAACCTTGTTATTATTATTATGTATTTTTTTGTGTACTGGTACGCTCATCAAAAACATCAAAATCATCAGATAAGAAAAACCAAAATTACAAAATTTTTTTAATGATTTTAATTGACCGGAAATTACTTAACAACTAACTTTTAAACTAATTGATCAATCAACATGTTTATTACGAAATCATTGGTGAACATTCAATGTGTTCTAAATTGTTAAGAACATGTATGCAACTACGTGTTTATTTTACACCATACATTTTTCTTTTTTTTTATGCTATGTGGATATGTTTATTGTCATGTCATACATGCTGCAATGTTAACATGTGTTCCTACACCCATCATTGATTGTTGTTGCTGTCAATCAACATGTTCGAAATTGTTAAGGACACGTACGTGTTTATTTTTACACCATATGTCTTTCCTTTTTTTTCACACGCGGACGCGTTTATTGTCATGTCATCTATGCTGCAATGTTAACATGTGTTCCCACACCCATCATTGATTGTTGTTTGCTGTCAATTGACGTGTTCGAAATTGTTAAGAACACGTACCTATGCACTACGTGTTTATTTTTATACCTTATGTTTTTCTTTTTTTTTCACATGTGGACACGTTTATTGTCATGTCTACATTAACATATGTTTCTTGTGCTGCCATTCATTGAATTACTGATTTTTACGATTTGGCTAGTGAAGAAAAATCAATGTTTGTTCTTGGATGAAAAAAATTTGTAAAAAAGTTAATTGAATGTGCTACTAGATGCAAAGAAAATATTTGATACTCATAAAATAATTTAAACCACATCTAAAAAAAATAAAAAATAAAAAATAAAAACTCTTAAATAATTATGTCTTCCATCTTATCTACAATCACATTTGTAAAGTCTGTGAGTGGATCTAACATTTTGAATGGTATGGTAACTTCAAGACTTAACAATGATGATTTTTTGGACTTTACATTCAGTCTTTAATTCCAACGAAGACATCATGATCCAGGATATACAGGATTCTTTTATGATATTTATTGGAGGTGCTCGCATAATGTTCCTAAATAATAAATTGTTTGAACATGAGTAATTGCCAAGGTAATTGATGATAATGATGTCGAGGTCGCTTTCCCCACAGCTAACAATATTTAAAGATAAATGTTCAAAGAGAAATCATATACTTCACTATCAATGGAATACCAGCATCCAGGAAGCAATTTCCAATTCAGAATGCATTTGCACTCACTGTTCACAAGACACAAGGCCTTACACAGCCACACTCAACTGTATCCATTGATGAAAATATGTTCGCCACAGGACAGATATGTGACGATGAGTAGGGCACCTTCGTGGGATTCTCTGGGTATATTATCTTTTGATTTTGATTGCATAAAGGTAGATAGACATGTTATTGATGAGTACAAAAGGTTAAATCTCTTGAACCAAAATGGCTTGAAAGAATTGATGTAATAAAAAAAAATACCTTGTAAAAAAAAGTATGTAAAAAAAATCATTAGAAAATTAATTATCAACGTAATAAATAAATAAATAAATAAATAAATGAATAAAATAAATAAATGAATAAATAAACAAATAAATTGTTTTTCATTTTTCACTTATCAAAAAATTATGCAATCAGAAATTAATAAGACAATCATGATTTGTTATCATTATATTTGTGTGTAGTAGTCCTGCTCTAAACCTGAAAACACCATCATCAAATCCATCGTCTTTGATTTAAATACTGTTAAATCTCAAACTCATGAAAAATAAATGATTTATAAAGAGGAAGTAAAAAAAGTAATATTGCTTGTAGGTATTTTAAAACAAGAAGGTGATGTTGTGGAATATCAAGCAACTCTAAGGCATGGCGATAAAAGAAATTACGTGTGGAAAAGGATTGATGACTAATAGTCAATTAATTTTTTCTCATTTTTATGCACGCGTATATAAATTTTTTTTTTTTTGAAATTTGAAAAATTGTGTAATATATTATTAACTAAAATAATAATAAATTCTTTCGAATATGTTTTTCTGCGAATTCGGAAACGTAAATGAAAATCTCTTGTCTTTCTGTGAAACATTTTGATTTTTGTGTAATGGAGAGCGGCTCTAAGAACCGCTCCACCTATTGGAGCGGCTCCACAAGAGCCGAACGGAGCGGAGCGGAACCGCCCCATCCCTAGCAATAAGTAGTAGTAGTAAGATAAGTATATAAAAAAATCAAGTCAATTACACATAAACATTTTAGCCATTAAGAATTACCCCTATTTTTAATCTACGACTCTGTCGTCATATGTCAAGATTTTTTTATGTGTCAAAGACACTAGCTCCGATATTCTGAGATTTACTTGTCTATTTTTGTCATTTTAACATGTAATATATGTATTCTGATTTGTTGATCCAAGTCACGTATAATATCACTACTACATGTGATTTCCTGCTTTCTATAAGCGATCTCAGACAAAAAAAATAATTTCTGGTAAGTGCGAATACATTACAGCTACTATATACAATGTGTTATTGGATTTATATCGGCGATCCGTGCGTGATATTGGTTTTCCAATAGATGATCGATTATTTCGTGACTTAGCAATATAGTTTTTTGATTCAAATTTTTTGTTCATTTATTATTGCGGCTATGCCTCTATAAATTTAATCGAAAAAATATGAATATAAAGAAAAGTTAGTTGCAAAAGAAATACAGTGTGTTTCAAAAAAAAAATGGTTTGCACGAAAAATCACATGCAAGGTAGATAAACAAAATTAGATTCATTTATTAAATAAAAAAAATCAATAAGAAATTATACCACTGTTTTTTTTCTAAAACCAACTCACATTTCTGTATGACGATAATTTTGATATTTTATCCATATTAAATAGTTGACTACATAAATCTGAGCACGAGCTTGCGAGTGAACAAGGCTAATAGAGTTATTTTAAAAAAGTCATATAATTATGAACTTTGGCTCATTTAATACGCAAAAGATCACCCATACAAACAAAAAGATTAGTAATTTTTTTCCACAAAAGAATTTTAGAATGGACCGATTTTGCCCAAATGTTCATAGCCGAATTATTAATCAGAACCCAATATATATACATCGAGAACAAGAAAAAAAGTAAAAATTTTTATAATAAAATATTACTCATCATGAAATTCAACCTAATCATTGCCATCATCTTTAATCTAACGATTGGCCTAACACTTGTGCCACTCATTGAAAGTAAATACTTTTTAAAAGATCACACTTTGGAAAAAAATTAATTGTATGTTCTAACAACTCTATGTTTACTACACAGGTCATACAGTTTGGATCCATAACAAAATGTGGCCAGGTACATTTGGCAAGGTTACAGTCATGGTAGATGGATCAGAAAGGAGTAGTGGGAGTTCAACTGCTCACCACGGTTTTAGTGTTCAAGTGTATGATGATATAAAAATTTTTAACCTTTCATTCGCTGTCGAGCTTTCAGGCAAAAAAGATAAGACTCGTGGACCATTCAGAAATCACCGAGATTACGAATGGAAAATGACTGGTAGTGTAGATGGATGGGATATTGAAGAGCTATCCTAATAATATTCCCCTTTCTTATTTCTTTACTAAAAAATTTCTATCTAAATCATGATGTTATATTTTCATATTAACTTTAGCATAATTTAATCATTTCATTTTACTATACAATTAAACAATTAATTATTTTTACCAATTTCTTAAAATACATTCTGGGATTTATTTGCATTTTGATAATACCGATCTTGAGCATGTTTCATAAACTTACTACCTGGCCGGTAAAGATATTTGATTACTGCATGCTGTATTATTTTGCAGAATTTACTTGTTTTTGATATATACCACAACGAAATGTTTTCTAATACATGGATGCTTAAAACAATATGGTTGATGTTTTAAATGAGTGAGAGCCAACCCTTTATACCAATAATGACATTTAGCACATCGTCCATATGAAATTTCTGTGGACATGTATTTTCTAAGAACATTATTAGGCATATAAATGTATAAGGAATAGTGTAAATTTGTTTTAGGCACATGGGTGAATCAAAGATTCGTGCATTTGGCACTGCCCTTATTCCAATTAAAATTGTGACTATATTCTACCATTATATGAAAATTAGCTATTTATTATATTTTTATTATTTTATCAAGCGAATGTACTGGCATGTGAATTTAAAAATAATAAAAATACAATAGGGTATACCTGAAAAATTAGGTCACATGAAAAAAACGTGTAGGTATTATCGAAGCAAGCATGTTATCAATAACAATTCATTTTTAACGAGTAATACTAGATTTCTGAATCAAATTCATTTAGTGTGAATTTTCGCATTTAAACTTTTTTTACTTTTTTTTTCTTTTTAGAACACCTACTATGAATTTCTCTTGCATCTATTTCATCTATAACACCCTCTAAATATTCTAAATAATTATTCGTAGTTTTTTGTTTTTTCTCCATATCATTGATTGTTTAGAGAGCTTTTTATATTTCTGTTCATAGTTTGGGCTTGATATCATTGATACTGGAATAAAATTAATATCTGAAGAGTCAAAGACTCGATGTTTTGCATCACCACTATATACTATCACTGTTTTAATTTCTTGTGTTTTATTAAAATAATATATATTAGATATTTATTATAGGGAAAAAAATATATGCTTTAATAATTAGTAGTTATAAAGATAAATAAATTTGATATTATATTAACAATGCATTTATTTTATTATAACAAATATGATAATCAAAACGAAACACATGATCAATTATATGACTATTTTATATAAAAAGAAGGATATAATAGCAATTCAAGAAAACTTGGTATTAACGGCAATGCAAATCATGTAACAGTGCATCAAAATAAGACAGAACAAAACCCGAAGGAAAAACGCTTGATGATTCATATAAGTTGTTATTACATTTGGTGGAAAATCTTGACATTGATAACAATCCCATTCTAGCAGTGGAGTGGTATAACACTGTTGTAAATCTAAGCAATAAAGTTTCTATTGATTATCACTTTCGAAATTATATAATTTGCTTTTATATTTAGAAAAGGATATAATGCAATTCAGGAAGAACTTGGTATTGTCGGTTATACTAATCTATAAATAGCAGAAGCAGCTGATAAAAACGCAAGAGCATATCTTCAAAAGTTTGAGAAATTTCATGATCCCTTAGAAGATGTCCCAAGTGTGATATTACAAAAATTTGGTGGTAAAGAAAATTTGGATTACCGGAGAGGGACTTCCATTGTTTCCAAATGTCTCTCCTAAACAATTACATGAAGTTTTCACCAAAAAATTGGCTAGCACCGATCAGTATCCATGTCTAGAATAAGATAGCTAATCTTTTCATTATTTTTATCATTACAGTATATTTATTTCTGATTTTTTTTACTGTATACTGATAGCAGAGCTAGTGTCTAAAGATACATAAAAATTAATTTTTAATCCAATGGTCGAAAATAATACCCCTGAATCCATTAAAATCCACAAGATAATATTGCTCCAGTAATAGAATTAATGGCAGAGCCAGCGTCTAAAAGTCACATGAAAAAATTAACAATATCAGGAATGATCAAGGATACAAAAGAGATCTATGATTCAGGCGGACAGTGTTCAACTATTACATATGGAAAAGTAAAAGAGCTGGGTTTAGTAACAGATACTGATAGAATAGTTTCCAACATTACTGATCAATTATGATATAAAAAGATTCATATTGATTTAAACTCGATAGAAAATCCACATATTTGCTGCAAAAGAAAATTTAATATTAAAAGCAAAAAACTAAAAAACATTATAATATATGTATTTCTAGTTCATCTGAATCTGAGAGTATTAGTTCTGATTCATTTGAAGAGTGAGTTAGATTTTCAATATAAAAATAAGTAAAGCTTAATTAATTTTCATCATAAATTTTATACGGTCTTGCATGTTCCGGGAGTTGTCCTCTTTTGCGATAGTTGACTACAATGTAATTTTGTACAGGAGAAACATTGTTCGTAGGAGTATGATGTAGACACTGTCCAGCAATTGTCATAAGATGAGCTGGATTTTTAGCTCCATGTACTATAGCACCATATACTGCTCCCAATTTACGTAAATGTTTAGGTAAAAGACCATAAGGTTTTAAGTACATATTAAAGCATTTTACACCAGATTTTCATGGATTACCTATTTTTCCAGAAGCAATAGTATCTTGTATCCAGGCAAGTAATTCCTTTGCTTCTTCTTTATTTTTTCCCATAGATATAAATTTTCTTGGAATATCTTGTTGACCCCTATTTTCATAAAGTTGTAATTTCTGCTGGACGTAAACAGAGCATTATCATAACATCAGCAAGGGCTAAATAATTGGGTGAAGTTTTTATATCATATGCATCCAGTCTTTAACCGATTCTAATGTGAATTCATCTGGATAATCAATCCTTTCAAAAGCCTCAATATATTTTTATGGTCTCTCTGTTTTTCATTAATTTTTTTTGTTACATCAGGTAATTTTGTAGCTTCAACTATTTTTTTCGGAGCATAAAGATTACTCAATTCCCTTCTAAGACATGAAAGTCATGATGATACAGCAATGACATTTTTTGCAGAATTAGCTAAATTTTTTGCTATAGCTTTTACTTCTTTTCACTAAGATTATCACGTAAAATTTGTTGAGCTATTTCTTTCGATTGTTTCTCTTATATTTATTATTTCAGGTGAAATGGCGTTTTGAATTGTAAGCTTTTTGGATAGGGATTAATGTAAATATTCGTTCTTCATTGAAATTATACCCTTCTCGAAGCCGTCTTTGTGCTTTGTTTCTCTTTCTATCATCTGTAAGGTTTTTAAGAAATTCGGTGTATATTGAATAAGTTCAGATATACTCATCTTTGGAGTGATATCATATTCATCAATGAGTGTGATTGTAATTGCTGACATGATAATGAGTATTAGGTTATGAAATAATTCTTTAGGTTATACTATATGCCATTAGAAAATATTTTCAATTCGAAATTTAATTATCCCAAAATTTAATATTAATATATTACTATCTAACACTCCAGTCCACTAAAAAAATGAATGAAAGTATTTTTTTTTTACACAGAAAATAACTACTTTAAGATTTTCACATTATAATAAATAATTAGCTAAATTCTATAAAGGTAAATAAATATTTCACAAAATAAAATTTATTAAAACATTATCTAATTAAATAAATTTATTTTTTATAATAACCAGGGAGTAAGTATTATAAATTAACTTTTACAACACAAAATAAACTTTATCTTCAACATCATCTAATTAAATAAATTTATTTTTTATTTATAGATTGTAAATATTATATTATAAATTAATTTTTACAACAAAAATAATCTTTATCTTCAACATCATCTAATTAAATAAATTTATTTTTATTTCATAGATTGTAAGTATTTTATTATAAATTAAATTTACAACATAAATTAAAACTTTGTTAAAACATCATCTAATTCTTATTTATTTATTTCAATGTGAAACTCAAGTATAATTTTCTCTGGATAATATTATGGGCAATGAATTTGTGGATATTTTTGCAGATGGTTTTTTTATGGATGATTTTTGCAGAAAAATACATGATAATAGATGAATAAAATGAATAATTCAAATAATTCAAATAGAATAAACAAAGCAAAAAAATGAATAATTTGAATAAGAATTTGTATTATGAATAGGAACTCTAAACATACAAATTTTTGTGGTGAATCTATGAATATGTAATGACTTGACTTATAACTGACCAGTTGTATTATGTATAAAATTCAATCATGATCTCCATTCTAATTTTGGTAAGAAATGAACTATCATTACCATAGTATAAAAATTATAGATTATGTATGTATTTAGAAATAGGATCCTTCCAGCACCTCTACTTCACAACACATTTGCTAATCTAAGCTACAAGTTATTGTAATTTTTTTGAAATTATTATGTATATTTTTTGTAGTTAACAAATTTAGAATGTCTGAAATTTTTGGGTCAAATGTAAACCAAAAAGCTGTAAAACCAAACTGAATCAGGTGGTTTGGTTTGGCCTTTAAAATTTGGATTGTAAACCAAACTGAAACTGAATATTCAGTTCAGTTTCAGATTGGGCATCAAACCAAACCAAACCAAACCATTCAGAGTTTTAAATGGCATTAATCATTCAATTTTTAACAATTTGCAACATGATTAATTCAATTTTTTCTTAATGTGATGTCAGTCATTTGATTTTTAAAAGTTTTTTGTTTGTTGTAATTAATACTTATTAATATTAATGATATTCATTTACAGTCAAATACAAACTTTATTGTTTTATTAAGTATTGTGAGATCAAATCCACATCTCATAACAAATCTCAATATTTTATTCATTTAAATACAAACAATGTATATTTAAATCATAACAATAATTTCCACAAAGGTATATTTTGTTTTACTCTCAAAACTATTTTTCACTATCATTAAACAATTCTTTATACTAAGAAATACTAAACAATTTCTTCTTTAGATTTTACACTATATATCCTGATCACATTTCTTGGTGGGTGCCCTTCTAGCCATTTCCTTTTTGCTACCAAGTCAGGTATGTCTCCAAACTTCATTAAATAAAATTTGTTAAATATTAACTCACTAAAAGAAAAGAAAAGGAATAAAAATAATAGAAATAATAGAGACAAATATAAATAAGAGAAATAATTATGCACAGGATTAGTATGAATTCATTGTTAGAGATAAATTTATTATCACTATGAAAATACAATATTCAAAGACAACAAGGACAAGGGCAGTGTTATTTATTAAATGATGATTGTGAATAATGATTAAAGAGGATACATGAAGTTGAGAAAAATACAACATTATTTATGCATGTTAAAGGTTCTAGCATCTAGTTCTCTGATTTCTTTGAAATCTTAATTAAATGTATTACTTGTACCTTCTATGTAGAAATATTTTCAAGTTATTTCTAAAGTGATCCAATCATTTAAATTACTTTGTTTAAATTAAATCCAAGAATTAAAAGTCTGTTATATTTAGAATGTTAGAATATTTATTTCTCCATTGTTTGAAGATATTTTTATTTGCATGCAACTTTCCAGATTTATTTATTGATTTCCATGATATGTAAAATTACTATTTTACAGTATTAATTACAACAAAACCTTTTAAAAATCTGTCACTGATTAAATTTGGGAGAGTGTATTTTAATTAGTGATAACAATTATTTTTGTTTTTGCGTGGAACAGAATGAATAGGGATCAATGAATTGATTTTGGTATTAGTGAATAATTTTGGTTAAAGAAGATAAAAGTTTTAAATAAAATATTTCTATTTTATTTATTTAGTTTTATTTAGTCGAAACTAAAGATGTTAGCCGAAATTGATTTTTTCAAAAACCATTTCGGCAGGCAATTTCGGATTTACAATATTTTTCATAATAGTCGGACGACATTTCACAGTGACTGATTTTTAATATATGATCAACATGGCACGTTTTCTGTACAATGGACTTTGGCGAATGAATTGAACGTAAACTCATTATTAAACAATTTTCGTGCCTCTAAGT